TAAGGTTACCATGTTCATCTAACTTTCTGACTATCAAACACATACCTCCATTTACTCTTTGGTATATTTGGTGTGGTGCTGCAGGGAAGGTTTATAGCTAGTAACTACCCACCTACTGGGGTGTGGCCCATCAGTGTTGTGTCTTCATTATAGATATGTTTTCATTTAGATAGCTTTACAAAAATCAAATGCATTAAAGTGATGTACAATTTGTGACCAAGGAAAGTACTCAAAAATTAGTCCAGTTTGAATAGCTGGAAATGATCAAGAATAAAAATGTATGAAAAAGCATTGGCTATGCAAATTTTAAGGTTATTGGTTAAAAAAAACTACAGTGTAACAGAAGGCAATAATAAGACATCATTAAATAAATGAATGTGTTATTAGAGAAGTTTTTAGAAAAATCATTTATACACCTTAAAAACTTACTTGGATACAAATAACTTATGCATTATTTCATCAAAATATATTAATTAGGCTCATTAAAAGGATCCAGTTCTATTTCTTTGGACATATGTGTTGTAAATTGATTATATCTAATTACTCTAGAATTTAATCATCTCATTAAATTTGGGTGTAAATATATATATACTTCCCAGAATTCTACATCTTACAAGAGAAAATCTTTCTTATTTTTTAAACAAAATACAGGATAAACACACTAGAAAATTTTGTAAATTACATTTCCTAAATCATGAAACGTAGACTGAAATGCATTTTGGCAATATCAATTATCTTGACATATAAGCATATTATCTCAATAAAGTATCGGCTGTAAGATGCTACTGAAAAACATAAGCAGTCAGTACTAAAAATATGATGTATATATTCTAATTTTTATACCATGTGCTTTCTTTCTAACTGAAACTCACATTCAAATGACATACATTTCCTCCTATATCTTTTCATTTTTAGATCTTCTGGATTGAGTGATTGGAAATGACTATTCAGAAGAAGCTTTTATGACTTTCAAGAAGCTGAATTGTTATTTTCTACTATGTCTTAAAATCAAACAATTTTAAGAGTAATTATTGAAGCTAAATATCAAAGAACTATTAGGAGTTAGAAAGAATGTGTATATTATTTGGAAAATACTCAAACTGCATATGTTAGGGGAAGTACATATATTTGATGAGTCGCTCTTTAACATAGGGATATGTTCCACTTTCTTTTCAGAAATAACTCCACACCACACTAGCAATAACATGTTCATAACATCTGATTATGATTTTTCTAGTCTTCAAATTATTTTATTATCATCTGATACTATCCAAATCTCCACTCCATTCTTCTCATTCTTTTTTTCCTTTCCTTCCCTTTCCACTGGACTTGTCTTCTTCACTCTTCCTTTCCTTCTTTTCCATACTTCTCTCTCCCCTTAGAGGGAATCCTCTATTTCCTTCCACCTTGGTCTTTTTAAACTAAAATTGGCCCATATGAAATTTAAACCTTTATCTCTCTTGCTGCTTCCATAAACTCTTATTCCACATTTACTATTTTTATTTAAATGACTTTATAATAATAAATTTTGACAATGCAAATGAATAATATATAACTATATAACTAGATGACCATGCATGGAGAACATGCAAAATAATCAGGTAATATTTTGTAGAGAATGATCAATGCAAGTTTTAAATATTGTGGATTCAAACTTTACTAAACTTGGCTATAACAAGAAATCATATTGCCAGTGGGATTAGTGTTCTTCAAACACACACTGAAATGGTTTTGGGTTGTAGAGTATGGCTGAAGTGATGGCATGTTACCCATCAAATGAGTCCTTTCCTCTCTACCTTTTTTGTCTCTCTCTTTTTTTTTAATATTCCTTCATTTTCCTGCCCTGCTGAAAGCACAACACAGAAACTCACATGCTAATAACATGACTCCCCATAGCAGAGTAAGCTTTATCATGAAGCCCTGTGTCCCACCTTATTTCCCCCAAAAGGAAGGGAGGCAACTAGTTTGCTGAAAAATCTTAAGAAATATCTTGAAATCAAAACCATATTGATCCCAGACTAGAGACTCCAGGAGCTACACGGGATAACAGATATGCCTAAGATGTGGGAAGGTGGTAGCAGGGGTAAACAATAACAAAGAGTTGCGTTAGGAAGTGTGGTGCTTCTTGTTATGGAATCACAGGTCATTTTACAGGGCTAAGAAAGTTATATTTGTTTGCTGATAGTTTTCATAATATAAAGTATATTAGATATTGTCAAATAATTCTATGACTCTTGAGATTATGTAAAGTTAAGTTTTCATTAGCTTATTTGGCAATTCTTTCACTATGGTCTACTAAACTGTCAGAATTTTTAAATGTTTGAAAAAATTATTAAGATATATTCAGTGATTCAGAAATTGTTAGGTTTGATTTGCTAAAATCATGTATGAGTGTGTGTGTGTGTGTGTGTTATGTATACACTTGCATAGATTCCAGAAAAGGATATCTAGTGTTCAGTTCTTTGCCTTTTTGTTTTAAACCAGAGTCTTTTCTTGCATCAAGAGCACAGGTTTTCCAACTAGAATGGTAACCTGTCTCCAACCCCAACAAAATTGAAGTTATCTGTGCATGAAAGCGCATACCCATCTTGTTCACTACTTGGTTGTTGCTCTGATTTTGTTATTTCAGGACTTTATTTACTCTTTAGATTAGTTGAGAATTTAGTTTTCTAGAATGTGTTTTAGAATTTATGTTCCTTATAAAACGTTTGATGGAATTCTACTGTAAAGTACAAATTTTCTGGTTACCCATTTCTTCCTCCAAAATTTATCTTAATCAAGCTATAATCTTTCTAAATCTTATGTTACTAGATTATTCAATTAGTGCTGTTCCAGTCTTAAACAAGGACAAGATACGCCATGTCCCTGTCTCCAATAGATCTTTACTTTTGTTGGTTTCCAAACAAATTAAATATACATGAAAGCTGTATTTTTTAGTCCATGAACAGCATAGAGGAAAAATACTATAAAGATGAGAAGAACCTTTCTCAGTCCATTTAAGGACCAAGTAATCAATGAAGCATCACTGCAGTGTTCACCTTGATCCTATGAATTGTGGATTAAACAGATTTGATTCTCTGTCTCTAAGACTTGTTCTCTAGACGTAGGTTACTAAGTGAGGTCAACATGTTGGAGTCTAGATTAAAGCTGTTTCCTGGTGAGAGAATGTCAATGAATTCATTAATGTAAGAAAACTTAACCTTTAACCTGTAGAGAGCCCACGGTATACAGCAAGAACAAAGATTTCCCTACCCCAGTGTGGTATCTAGGGTTCCTTCTCAGTCTCTCTTGGACTGTGCCATTTGCTCTCACTCTGAGTTGGTCAGTTTTTGATTTCCTGCAGTTCTCTCACCATTGGATGATGTCATGTATCATCCTTTAGTAGTTTGCTCCTTGAAATTTAGTCTCCTTGTTCCCAGTTCTGGAATCTCATATACATCACAACCCATATAGAGAACACAACTCTTCCTGTCTTCTCCTGAGACATGTACTGTCAATTATTCTTGGGTAATTTCTCAGAAGTCACAGGATTTACTTAATATTACATTTCAAACTCACTGTCTCGCATTGCCTTGTGTTGGGTATCTCCAGAGCCAGTGTTTCATACACTGTTGTTTTCATTACATTGGGTAATTATTGTACTTCTCAATGGATCTTTTCCCAAAGTAGAAATTTAGTCCGTTTTTATTTATTTCATTGTTGCCTTAACCTGATACTGAAAGTCAGAATATTTGCCTATGTCTGACGAGAAAACAAAAAAGAAAGAAAGAAAAAAGAGAAAGACAAATGTATTGACAGCTGAATTTCAATCTAGACATTGTTTGTGGCCTTGTTTATAAGGGGAATTATAAGCAGTGCATATAACTGAATCTATGGTTTATTCAAAGAGCATTAGTGCTTCTCCCTCTTAGTGAGTGGCATGTCATGTCTCTCACTTGACATTGGTTATAAAGTCTGTGGCTATTCGAATGCGGTCATCACTTTTCAGCCTCCAAGGCAATGCCTCATTACGTTTCAAACTATTTTATATAAATTTGAATGACTTATGTGTTTCAAAAGTACTATGTCCTTTTTTTCCAGGCAGGGTAGCTCCTTCAATTGTTTGATCTGATATTCCTGCTAAATTTAAACATTTTCTTTATATTACTTTTGTAATAATTTATCAATGTTATCATTTTTCTTCTAATCTTTCCTGCTACATCTTTATCATTTCAATACATATGGAATTAAACTTTTAAGACACCTACGTTGACTCTCCAAGCTTGTCTCCATTCTTTATTATCTATTTATTTTATGCCAGACTATTGTAAATAGGCATTCAACTGTTTATTGAATTATATTTAAATCAAATATCAACTATAAAATATAATCTTTTTTCTAATACAAAATCTTAGCTACGAACTTTCATTCATAGAAATTTTCTGTCCTCAGCAATTATACTGAATTGAATTTTTAATGTTTTTTTCCCTAAAGTAAGTTTTCTTAAATAACAATGAACCTCCAATGCAAGTATCATTACAGAATTTCTTCAAAGTTACAAACAACTTAAGAAGTTCACCACATACACTCAATTTAAATTGAAATGCCAAGAGACAGCACAGAGTGAATTATTCTTCAAAGTTTAGAACAGACTCAAATGTTCAAGTTTTCTTAGAACTCCTATTTTGTTAGGACTTCCGTGGAAGTGCACACCCGTAATTACAGCTTTCAAGGCAGATCTCTATGAATGTAAGGCCAGTGTGGTCTAGGTCATGAGTTCAAGACCAGCCAGGACTACACAGAATTCGTTTTTATATTTTCCTAGAAAATAAAATTAGTAGTTTCATATTTCTCTTAATAACAGCTATTAATCACAGAATTTCCCTACAATGGGAAATCATATCAGAAAACATATTAGAATTGATTATTTACTAATTATTACAGTAACTACAATGTCATTTTTCTTAATTTCAATTAAAGAAACCCTACACATGACTACACTTAACAATCAAACCAAAGCTGTTTTTCACCACCATTCAGAAAACCAGGCCTAGGGATAGAACAGGTCTGGGGTCATACATGTGATCTTACTATAGACTTTGTTTACCCAGTCCTGATTACCACATAATCAGCAGAGGGAAAAATATCAGCATCATTTTTCCTTCTTTCCTTCCTTCCTTTCTTCCTTCCTTCCTCCTTTCTTCCTTTTATTTTATTTTTGTTTTTATCAAGCAGGGTTTCTCTGTAGCTTTGGAGCCTGTCCTGGAATTCTCTCTGTAAACCAAGTTGGCCTCAAATTCAGAGATCCATCTGTCTCTTCCTCCTGGAATTAAAGGCATGTGCCCCCAGCACCTGGCAGTATTTCTTTCTAAAATGCTCTGTCGAGCAGTTAGTTTGTCATTCCTGTGTTGGAATAATTAATACCATTCAGATGAATGCTCACACAAATATGCATGCACAAGTTTTACACAAATATCACAATGAAAATGTTACTTTATCTTTTTTGAAATAATTTGAATTACCAAGGTATTAAGTGAAATTATCCATGGAAATCTTAAACTTATGTATTTTTTAAGTTTGCTATTCAGACACAATTCAATAAAATGCAATTGTAATTTTTAAATGACAATTCTTTATCATTATTCTTATTATTTTTATATTATCTGCACTTAGCATCTACTTTATGATGCTTTGGTCTACTTATGAAAAAACTGTTAATAACATGCTATATATTACATGTTACTAACACACATGTTAATTCGAGAATTATTTTCTTTTAGTCAACATCTATCCTTAGATTAGATATTTGCTATTTTGGTTTCCATCAATAACAGTTTTAGTCATGGGAAAAAATGGAGAGTGTATCTTTTTGTAACTGTCATACTTTCTGTGATGAGAACATGATACAGTAATGTTAATACTTTACTCATTTGTGACTGTAGTTAAGAACCATTTTATTTTGACATGTTTATATGATCCACATCAATTGGCAGTACAATTTTTGTTTTTAATTATCTATTATTGCAATAGACTACTAAGAAAAAGGGAAAATTATAACCCAACCAAACTTTCTAATGTGTTAGATAATACTACCCCAATTTTTCTTAAAGGATTCACATGATCACTATATAAAAACATTCACAAATACATTTTGTTAAAATAAGTAACCATTGTTTGCAATATGGCTACATTTTTGTAATTATACTTTTCTTCAATATAAGTTCTTATGCATTCTATTGCCAACTAGATCTTTTAAACAGAAAAAGGAACAGAAGTAAACAAGAGAGGGAGGGAAGGAGGAAAAGAAAATTTAACTGTAGTTTCAGCTGCTGGTGTTTAGATATTCAGCCTGTTTGGGATTTTACTTTGTTTTGTTCTTTTACAAAACAGAATGCTATCTCTAGTTACACTGTACAAAGAAGAACTTTTGTAATTGATATTTGAATAACGATTTATAGTTACATGTGAGAAGACTAAAATGGATATTTTAATTCATAATTTCAAATTATTTAATGGTAATACAGAAGAAAGGACAATTCAGTTATCTTACATTCTAAAAGACAAGCCATTACTAAATAGTTTAAACTGACTAGCTTGTGTGCTAGTATTAGAACCAAAATAATTTCACTCTAAAAACCTCTACTCTCTAAAAGGTATCACATGGCTTTGGTGGAGAGGCAGAGGGGTATATTAAGTGGTGTCCTAGCATGTCTTGGCTTATGCCTAGGGAAATCAATTAATAGCAATGCAGTGATTAACAACACTGTGGGCACTGTTCCCAGCATCAATAATTTCCATTTTCACTACTGCAGGAATATCATAAAAGAAATACAATTTGTTATCCTGTTAAAATTAGTGTTTTTGCCACCTCTTGGCAGCTTCAAACACATTGTAAATCGTTGAGGGTCACAGTTTACGCTGTTTAGGTGAATATTACACTTTTGATTTTCGGCGACCACATATTATTTGAACATTTGTACCAAAAAAAAAAAAAAAACAGTGATTCCATCTCTTCAATGGAAATCAGAAAGGTGTAACATAACCTTCTTATTGTTAGAGGGCTTGACGTGGCTTGACTCTATAAACAGATATAACTGGAACAGTTACTTTTTTTCTTGGTTACATTGCTGCCACTTCATATCTCCAGCACAAGAAGACTTAAAGTTTCTCTCTAGAAAAGAGAGAAGAAAATAGAAGGACAGGTGCAAGTTAACTTATTTAAAAATAAATATTACGATAAAGCACTTAAGAAAAAACTCATGTCAATAACTAGGAACAATCTCTTCCTAAGCATTCCACAGTACTCTAGAAATAAAATGGATTACCTCATCCATCATACCGTCTTTATACAATGGCCATTCAAGGCTGTAAAGCTATCCTGGTCATACATGCCACAGGTATCATATCCACAAATACACAATATTAGTCTACTTCTTTATTTGTGATATTAGGTCTGTCTTGAATTTCACCTTGATTTTTTTTTTAACTCTAGGGGTCATGTGTCTAGTCTTCACATCAGCACTGATGTTCACTTTAGTGTTGTTTCTTCATTTTTATGTCTAGATAGTAAGGCCTTGAAGAGTTTCAAAGAGTTTTGTAGCTGGATCAACAAACACTAATGTCGTCCAATAGTTCTCAAAAAATATATTCCAGAAGCAGACTCTAAAAGAAAGTCAGCCACCCTCAACCCCTTCTGATTTTCCATCTCAAATAAAATATTCTTCTTAAAAATATGAAGCAGGTGTTATATATAATATCATTTGCAAAAATTTATACCTGTGACTGAGCCATTTTCTCCATTTTGTTCACTGGCTAGTTGCTATTCAGTCTCCTTTGCCCATAAGGCTAATATGGGCTTCACAACTATTTCTTTACATTCATCTTTGAAATTATCTCACAGCATTTCTCTTCTTAAGTGCATTTTAAGCTAGAGAACATTATAGAAATTTATGTAATAATAGTACATACTACAGAGACACTCCACATAGGCTTTGTATTTCACAAGGTTCTCTAGGGAAACAGAACCAATAGAATGAGTATATATTGTTAACATGTGATTAGTGTATACAGGGGATTTATCATAGTGGCTATTATGGAAAGGCTATTTTGACAATAGCTCTCTCAAAATGGAAAGTCTAAGACTCCAGCAGTTGTTCAGTCTTCTAGATTGTATGTCTCATCTGGTTTTCAGCAAATGCCTTAATCCAGAAAAAGTGTGGAGGAATACAGATGGAGGAATGAACTCGCCAGCTAGACTGAGGGCAAGCAGGCAAAGAACAAGTACTTCCTTCTTCCATGGCATTTATGTAAGCTACCACTGTAAGCCCAGATTTACATTGGACTAATTCCTACCTCAAAAGGTCCAGATTTGGGAGTGGATCTTTTCACTTCAGATGATTCAATCAAGAAAAAGCACCACAGCTGTATCCAACCAGTTGGGTTTTAGTTAATGCTAGATGTAGTCAAGTTGACAACAAAAATAAACCTCCACAGTCATTACAAAATTTGTTTCAATGTGCTGTCTCACAAAATGTAGTGAATTATTAGAGTAACGACATAGGCATTAATATAATACATTGATTTTATTAACATTTATTGAAGTTTTCTTTTTCTTTTTCTTGATGTCTGTATCTTTTTTTCATTAAGAGTAGAAATTCTTTATACAGTATATTTTAATGATTTTTTCCCCACATCCAATTTCTCAAGATTGTGTCCACCATCCCTCTTATTCAGATCCATACCTTTTTGCTCTCTCTGTTAGAAAACAAACAGGCATCAAGAAAAATAAGGTAAAGTAAAATAAGACTAAACAAGAACAAACAAAGTTGAATAGAACAGAACAAACATATAAGCAAACAGAAGAAAAAGGGTAGAAAAGCACAAGAAATAATATACACTCAGAGACACATATTCACACTCAGAGAAATCCTATAAAAACACAGAAATAGAAAACATGATATATATGCAGAATATCTGTAAGGTAAAATACAAAATAAAATAAAAATAAAAAACCCTGACAAAAGACCTCCAAAATTGCGATTGAATTCATTTTATGTTGGCCATCTACTGCTGGACATGTGTGTGCCTTTAAGAGTAGTTTGTACACACAGTAAGACTCTCTTTTGGAGAAAGATATTTTTCCTTTGTATGAGTTTTTCAATTGGGGATACCTTCTGAGTTAGGAGTAGAGACGTGTGTTTACTTTTGCTCTCAGCACTGGGACCCATCTCCTACATACCCGAGCAGCCCCTGTGCATGCTGCTCCAGACACTGTGGGCTCGTGTCTGTATTGTTCCTGCTGTACTTAGAAAGCCTATATTCCTTGATGTCCTCTATCCACTCCGGCTCGGAAAATCTTTTTGTTTCCTCTTCTATGAGATTCCCTGAACCCCGAGGAGAGAGATGTTATGGAGATGTATTATTTAGGATTGTGTGTTCCAAGGTCTCTCTTTCTCTGCTTTGTCCGATTGTGGGTCTCTATTTGATCTGCTTACTGCAGGAAGATGTTTCTTTAACCATAAATGAGCAAAACCTGATCTATGAGTATAGCAGAATGTCATTAAGAGTCATTTTATTACTATGTTCCGTTAGCAGAGCAGTAGTATTTGGTATTCCACTAAGTTGCTTGGGTTTCTGGTCTCAGGTTTTTAGCCACACAGTGTTGTGGCTCAGTTCCACCTCATGGGCTATGCTTTAAATCAAATCAGATATATTTTGGTTAATCCCTCAAACTTTGTACCACTATTGATCTGTCACATCTGGAAGAGAGGTCACCGTTGTAGATCGATGGGTTTGTAGCCTGGTTGCTGTCTACATTGTTCCTTTGGTAGTGCGCAGAGTACCTTTCATTACAGTGAACCCTAGTCTGTAGGGCTGAAGGCTCTAGGAGGTCACCAGCTGGACCTCTCTGTGATCAATGAGTTTTGCAGGTGCTGTCTTCAGCAATGGGGCTTTATTGTCAGTTTGTGGAGAATAAACAATAGCACTGGCAATAACCTAGATGGTTTGGGTGTTCCCATAGGACCCCTTAACAACATTATTAGATATAATCCATTCCTGGAATTATGGGTTTTATTTGGTGACCAGGTATGTCCAGTTGGGGTTCTGTCTCCCCAACCATTGGATGATTTTATTTAGATTGGCTTTATGT